TATTGGAGATTGTATGGCGGATAATTACTGCTTGCCCGATTTCTTGTTCGATCGATCACCTGGAAACAAAAAAAAACAAACAAGGGCTCGCGCTTGCTGCTTAAATTTTCTTCACCTACGGGCTGTCACGACAAATCAATCGACCGAACGAGAGATATTACCTTTGGCAGATTTCTTGGTATTGGTCTCTGGTTTACACCTCTTGGTGAGCCGTCGCGTCTTCTCGCAGGATGTATCGCTGTTCGCTTTCAAATTATCGATTCTCGTCATCATCTGATTCGCGCATCCGCTCCACGTGCCTTTCTCGTATCGACATGCTGCGATCAACGATCGAATTAAAATGCATTCCCGAATTCGCTTTTTGCAACGATGCATTAATCGCGGACTCACCTTTCTTACATTTCTTCTGTATAGTCTTGGTCTGCTCGCAGGATTTGTCGCCCTTCTTGAGGCTCAGAGTGCGCGACCGTGTGTTGGTATTTGAGTCGCATTCCGACCATTGACCCTTTACATATCTGCACGATGAGGAGCTGCCGGATGCTGCGTCAGCAAATGCGAAACGTCAATAGAAACAATTGGACGTAACGTCGATCAAGCGAATAGAGAAAGAGGGAGAGAGAGAGAGAGAGAGAGAGAGAGAGAGAGAGAGAGAGAGAGAGAGAGGAAAGGAGGGAGATCGAGGGAGATTTTTAAGGTCGACAAGAAACGACTTCTAATTACGCCGTTTATATACGTATGTTACATATATATATATATATATATATAGATGGTCTATATTCGCGATCGCTCGATAAAACAACGTCACGATGAAAGGAAGGGGTAATGGATTAATTACAGAAAGAAATACTCACTTCGTTCCTTAGTACCACGTACTGTTCGTACAAGCACCTCTTTGTCATCCTCCTCCCACAGATCAGCTTCCGCTCGCGCATTCGTAAGAATCATCAACAAGGCGACGGCCACGAGAGCCAAACTCCAGCATAGCTTCATTCTGTTGAAAAAAAGGAAAGAGAACGGTCCATCAAGCACTTTTAATTATAACTTTAATAGTTAATTATTGCACAAAGTAAATTTGCGGTACTAGAAGTGAATTGTTTCGACATCAATAAATATTTCTTCACAAATACGGTCCAGATTGTGGGTTTAATAATTTCGCAATATCGAATTTTCAAGTTGAATCAATAAATTAATTATTGTGATGAATCAACGACGTAAATTACCGAACCGAGAAACGTATAAGCTTCTCACAGCGACGCGCTTTGATTTTTTTTTATGTGCATTCGGGCTTCGTTCTCGCGAGGCAGTCGGCGAAGCGAAGATTTCTTTATGCTGAATTTCACACTGACGTTAATTAAACCCAGTCCAGCGTCAATCTTTATTAAAGCGGCCTGTCATTGCCGATAACTCGCGATTTACGTCACGAGGCTGGCATAAAGAAAGAAGCGCCATGACGCGACGTCGACGTCGAATTCGCGGAATCCCAGTTGATGCGGTTATTAAACTTTTCGGAGCGATGCGCTCCGTTCTCGTTACAATTCGTCGCGATCTCTCGCGATAGTGGCAAGTGGTCCTTAACGAGAGAACCGCAAAAGATAATTAACCCCGATCGTAGCATCGCTCTGCAAATGGGATCGCTAAAAATAAAATCTTACGTCATCGCGACTCATTCGCATTTTAATCCTTAGTACTAGATAGTAGATAGTCTATGTGGTCGTGGCGGTTAAGCGCCGTTCTCGTTTCGACAATCTCGTCTGCGCTTCCGCGATAGCCGCGGAAACTCCTCGTCGATTTTGATAACGATAATTCTCAAACGTTACAGCGTATTAAAAATCTATGCATTCAAACAGCAAAATATCTCGTTGCAGCTTTCAACCTATAAGTTATAAAATAACCATACAGAAAATGGAAAAAAATAAAGTTTCGTTACATTAATTAGAATTCTGGTAGATTCAATCAAAAAAGTACAAACTACAGACTACTTATAGTTAAAGCTATGAAATAATTTAGGCGAGATAACCAAACGTTCAATTACAACAATCAAAATTCTGATTGGTATTATCAAAATTCGTTTTGTTTGTTTTCTTCTCGTTGGTACAACCAGAACATTTTTTTTTCGGCGTAACAATCGGCACTCTCATTTCCTGCAACGTTAACAATAACGTTAAAATCCATTTTAATATCCCTGCAAATCCAGCGAAAAGAGATTGGTCCGCATATCAGTCCTGTCCAGTCCAGCGTGCGGAAGCTGAAGATTGATTTATTGGAGGGTGCGCGGCGATACGAACGCATAAACGATTGGTTCAAGGTCTCTCCTTAGATCGATGCCATCGTTTCGCATACGATTGGAGGTGATACGCCTCTGACAACGATGAACCAGGCGACCACCAAGGCCGTGAAACTAATTAATCATCAACGATAATAGGACGAGTGTCGCACGTTTCTACATCGGCAGATGATGATGGATTATTCTCTATGTAATACCGGGATTCATGTATAAGCAGCGGCATAATCTCAGCTGCTCCGCTCTAAATCTGAGAAGCGTATTCAAGATTCAAAGACGGGTCTCTCACGAGTTGCGGAGAAACCACAGACCTCAAAGCTTCCAAGATCCCGAAGCTCCAACTCGATTCTCAGGAAGAGAGCGAGAGAGAGAGAGAGAGAGAGAGAGAGAGAGAGAGAGAGAGAGAATTGAAATGGCGGCGCTGTGACGTATGTCAAATATGGTTCAAAGACCTGAGATACACAGATAGAATAAAATGCAAGTTTAGAGCCCGGAAATAGAACATAGGAGGTGGATCTAAGAAAAATCAAAGAATGTATAATCTATTAAAAGAATGGATGTGCGAGAGTCCAGAGAACTTGGAGACGACGCGTTTCGCTCGTATCGTGCGTTTTGCTGCACGCATCTTTCCAGTCATTCTGGCTATTAGCCGACATTGAGACAATCAGCACTCGTCAGCAATCTTGTTGGACCACCACCGGTCGGTCGATCGGTCGGTCGGTTGGCTGATTCTCCTCCCCACGCAAATCTCCACTTATATTCGAACAATTCGTAGGGAAAATCGTCCGCGACAGCGCGCTCGGATTGATGAAATTGACAAAATTATCATCGCATCAGAAACAGCCGGACGTGAATGAGACAGCGAGCGGAAGTTGCCTTGTTCAAGTTCGTCGTCGGACCTATTGTCGCTCCAGCAACATCCTGATACAAATAAGTAAGAGAAAGAGGGGAAAGGGGAGGGAGGGAGAGAGAGAGAGAGAGAGAGAGAGAGAGAAAACGAGATGCGAAAAAAAGATGCGGAACAAGAGAGAAAAAAAGAAGAAGAGAAATATCGAGTAGATAATATGCCGTCGAATATAGACCGGGGACACGCGGTCAACATGTCCGAGAGCAAGAGGACGTTGGCCGATGTCCAGATATACTCTCTTCGTGTGTCCAACTCGCGAGTACGAGCACATCAACTCTTGTTTTTCTTTTTTCGCACGCGTAGATGTTTCTAGTCAATCCTACAAAAAAAAATAGATCTTTATTTTCAATGGATTAAACGGGGAAAACGCAAACACGTGCAGATGCTTGATAAAAAGTCTGTAAACATAAAGCATTCATTTTTTCATTCGATTTCTATATAAATATAGGAACACAAATGTCTTAACACCCGAAGTTAACATGCATATCGGAGAAGGCATATTAAGATATTTGTGTACCTGTGATAAACAGGTGTCTGGCTGACCGTTCGTGCAGAAGGACTGAGGAAAAAAAAATCATCACGTCAAAGTGTCATGTAGCTGATAGAGTATCGCGTTGTGTGAAAAATATGATACCGTAGGAATGAACGTTCGAGGAATATAAGAACGAGCGTTCAGTTTATCAACAAAAATTTATCAATAAAAAAAAAAAGAATAATAATAAGTCTTGTAGATAAAGCACGACGTTGTTGTGTGCACGATATAAAAGATAAGAGAATTGACATGAATTATAAGTGAAACAGACGCTCGAAAAGCGCGTGATTCATGTCGCTGTCATTTAAGACGTATTATATAGAAGTGCAAGCAAGGCTTTTTCTCTCATGGATCGAATCAATTTCAACAATCGAATTTTCAAATCGCAAACAAATTCCTCGTCTAAAATTTGAAATTCTGTTGGTGCAAGAACTTTTATTTCTATGTGTATGTGTGTATGTGTGTGTGTGTACGTTTTTCAGGATTGCGGAAAACTTTGCTGTGACTACCGTTCTTCAGAATCCTCATCTTTTTAGAAAGTTTAAGAACTTTTAGTACCTTAGAACTTGGATTGTTTTCAAACTCGTACAACAGCAGGAGAATAAAAGAAGAGTTTTCAACTCGGATTTTACGGACTTTTATGCACTATCCTATTATGCTGTACAAATTTATCATCCTGAAAAGCGTTGATTCGTCAATCAGCATCAGGGCACAACAGAATGAAAATGATTTATGTAAGTTGTACACAAATAGCCCGCCCTTCGACCTTTCTTTTGTCTTCTTCTCTTCTACCGGCAACTCTATAGGCCGATCAAAAAGCAATACAGAGACAATAAATTCATCATGTATTTTACCGAGGTCGTTCGCATTATTTCTTCATCCGTCTGTTGCACAACTTGATCTAGAATTTTTTGTTTACCTTCAGTATATGATAAGTAAGACGGAGTCGACTTAATTTGACGTGCGAGAGGTGCGCGAGAACGGCTGCAAAATCCTAGAAAGCAAGAAACTAGACGTTGCGTCGCCTAGAAACAAGCTTTACCTCTCGGCCTCCGTGCCCGCTACTATTGCGCCCGCGCGACACAACTTATAAATAGCTTGAAAATAAAGGGTTAAAAGGTTACAGCTTGTCTGCCGCAGCCCTAAAAAACTTTGCACCGTTTTACAGACCCACGCGTCGGTCACGCGGCTGTAGGAGTAACGAAGACGAATTGGCCGTCATTTCGCGTCTCGGCCCGCGCTGCTCGAGATTGCTGCTCGTTGCAATTTTGTCATTCGTTTCGAAACGCGAAGGTGGTCCCCGACGAATACGCAATTTCTTCTATCTACGCTGAAAAAAAAGCAGTAAGCGGAAATGCAAAATTCTCAGGTTTCTGAGCGAGGAATAAGATTTCGCCAACTGTATAATCATCGGAACTTGCAATCAGCACGGTCCTCGTTATCAATCGTCCCTCGGATTTATCGAGTCGACATAGACTCGAAGTCTTATCAATTTTTTTTTAATCCGACTTCTTATCATTCGGTTTCCGAAATCTGTTTATAAAAGACTCTTGATCATTTCAGATATTTTTGTAATACTCTAAAATACTTTTATATGGTCATTCAACGATCATATAAACTTCAAAGACTATGTCCATAAAAAATCTCGGGAAATCAGATAAGATTTCTGACCCTTAATTTTTTGGGCCCTAAAAATTGGGTCATGAAAAATTAGATAGAGGAAGATAAAGAAGCTCGAGACTCAAGATACGGAGCAAAAGCGATAGTGTATGAAGGGCGCGAGCGGATACTGAAAGAGCATCGATCGTCGTTGTGTGGTAGACACGCGCGTACAATAAGAAAAGCCGCTTTTAATTTCTGGTCCCTCGGTCCTTCTCGACTCGTATCAGCCGCGCGCGCTACAGGAGCTGGACCAGCGACAGAACGCAAAAAATTCTCGGATCTCCACCGGAGGAGAGCGACGAGAATCAGGGGCGGGTCTCCGCTCCGCTCCACTCGTTCGCGGAAAATCGATCAGCAACGCCGGGCGGCGGCGGCAATGGCAGCAGCGTTTCGTTCTTTCTCATTCTCTCTCATTCTCTCTCTCTCTCTCTCTCTCTCTCTCTCTCTCTCTCTCTCCCTCCTCTCATTCTTTCTCTCTCGCTCTCTTTTTTCTTTTTCTTCCTCTTATGCAAAAGACTCACCTGCCACAAGGATACCAAGCAAAGGATCAAGCTTGATTGACTTCCTAACGTATTTCCGGTTGATAATTATCCGCTTACGTAGCCGCGGCGACGCTCAACGAGGAGGATGCTGCGGATAGGAGATCCGCTCCGTAACGCGGCTGCGTGATGCACCGTAATCAGCGCGTCGGATCTCGATGTTCTGTATGCCTCCTAAGCGTTGCGCTGCCTGGACACCGTTGACTGCTACTACGTGTTGCTGCCGTCACTGGTACTGCCGCTATCGCCACCGACCAGAGTCATCCCCCTCCCCGAGTCAGTCCGGAGTCCGACATCCCTCAGGCGCCATGCATATCCTCCCCGCTCCAGTCACCAATCTTTCCCCTTCTTCATCACCGTCACCATGGTGATCATCCCTCCTAGAAAAGAGAAAGGCGACTGGATAAATAGAAATAGAACTATGTGGAGAGAATCGTACAGGATGTTTCAAAATGAAATTAGAGTCTATTACTGAGCCTTCGTCTTTGAAAAGTAAAAATTTCAGCACACTGACGTTGAGGAATATAAATGGCATCAAGCCTACTTTCTCAAAATTGCGATTAAAAAGGAATGACGGGATTCTAGAATTATTTTGGTGATAAGGAAGAAATAATGACAACGTTAGTTAGGATTGCTTTCAAAAATAAACATTTATTTCAAAATTAATGCTTACCATTAATGCTGTATCCTAAAAACTAAGATCTCTATCCTAGACACCGAGCGTGTTTAGGTGTTGTCTTAAGATTCCTTATAAGTTTACTGCATTGTTAAGTTGTGTACAATTTTGTATAGTACCGTAATGGGCTTTATAGCGAATCCAAATCCTCGCTGATTCGCGAAATCACATGATACCCTTCAAGACTCACGCTTCGCCACAAGAGATCAAAACTCCAAAGATCCAAGGATCGTTTGACATAAGAATTTAAAGATTAAACTGAATTAGAATTTCAAGGATTACAACATTTGACACTTTGAAATCCGGGATTAAATAAAAAATTCATCATTATAAATAAGAATTCCTATGTCTAAAGATCCTAAGATCCAAACTGGAAAATCCAAAAACCCAAAAAGATTTAAGGACTCTACTAATCCTTAAGATTTAAAGACCCGAAAATTTAACATCTTACATTCTAAATGCAACGCATTTGTAATGCGTTCGTATCTAATTAATTCGACGATCAAAATTATGTATACAAAACTGAGTTGCGCGTTATTTCTTATATCACCAAACACAATTCGACAGTTCTCACTCTCCAGCGTTGCGATAAAGAGTAAAATGATAGTACCGCTAAGTGATGATATCACATTTATGGTTCGGAGTATGCGCTATTGAGGACATATCCTTAAACAGCATCTTTCGTAGATTGTACCAGTTCACCAAATGAAGTTTCCAAACATTGCCGTAGTTCTGCGTAACTTACTACTAGAACACTCTGCTCATCTCGAGACATGAGGCATATCTGTAATGGTACATTTTAAGATTACTTTATGTACACACATTCCAAAAGTGTTAAGAATCATTACCTTGTCCTGCGAACCCGAATCAAGTTTATTCAAGCAGGATACAACATGCGCAAGATCCAACCAAGGTCTTCCATCAGCTGTGACTTGATGAAATACATAGTCCCTAAACAATTTGAGCATATAACGATCGCCCGTCTCTGCCCATGTAGGTTCCATATTAAGCTCCGGCCTTTCGTTGATGGTTGCTAACTTGACCAGCAATTTAAATAATCGTCCGTTTTCTAGTTCCTTGGCAAGTTCGTTCTCCAGGACATCCAATCGTAACTGGGCGGCATCCAACTGTGTATAAAATCTTGCACCAATCATTGGCATGAGATCCGTGACACTCTTACGGGATTGATTCGATAGCAAGTACCTAAAAATGTGTCATACTATATTTAAAATATTTCTAATTTGTCACTGTAGATTGGATTACAATAAAAGAAACCATAATTTTCTTCTGCTCTGTCCATTGACACATTAACATGTTTATAAAAAAAAAACTCACTATAATAAATTTTAGATATATATTGAAGATCTTTTTCTAATATATATTGAAGATCCTTTTCCTAGTGGTTATTAAAACTTTACACTTAATAATTTTTAAATCAAGTAATTAAGATTATCAATTGTCAGAGAAGGCAAACTTACAGAATAAGATTTCGAAGATCGGTGGAATAGGAACGTGTAATCAGCTCGATAGAGGCTGACATATTGTCGCGATGGACGGCGATAAGACTTCGACATGCCAGTGCTAAGACCAGCTTACCAAGTGCTACTAAATCTTCTTGCTGATAATGTGGGATGAGGGTAAGTGGATTTGCAGTGTTTCCATCTAGAGTGACCACATCTGGAATGGCGACACAACTCAAACGAAGTCGTGTCCGTGATGTAAGTAATACCTTGGTGGGATCTAAGCATCTATATGCCAAACCTGTAAAACGTAGATCAAGTTAATACAAAATTAAATTAACAAGAGGAATTAAATGAAACGAAAATTTCAAGATTTGTGGGTATGGAATTACATGTTATAAAATACTTATGGCTCTTTAAAGCAAATCCAATAAAATGAGGACAACGAAATAGTACATACTAACCAGCGGCATGAATAACACGAAATGCGGCAGTGAGTTGAATGATGTAGCTCCAAATAACACTTTCCGGTAGCATGCTACTATGTTGCTGTCTTAGAATAGTGTTCTTGGTATGACTATAAGGCCGTGGTGCATTGGGATCCGACGAGAATGGGTCGGTATAACCGTTAAGCTCAGTTGAGGCAAAATGTTTATTCAGTAATGTCTCTGAGGCAGGGTGATAATCGTATACAAAAACCATGGCTAGAAAAAAAATTAATTCGGCAAGAGTGCGGTATGCATAAGTGATGTACAAAAATAAATGAAAGTGCATCTGAAATACGGACAATGATCACCGAATGCCTTGGTGGTAAAAACTTCTCTCAGCTGAACTAGATTTGTATGTGACAATCGCTTCCACATGTCAACCAGTACCATACACTTGGTGTTGGCAAGTCGGAAATCTACAAGCACCAAGTACAAGCAAAATATAAAGTGCCAAGCTGATAATATTCTGTGATATTTATTAGTAGGATCCTCGAGTCAAAACTTAAACTCACCGTGAATACGACGTAAACAGTATCGCGTGCCAGTCTTGATACTGGTGGCCTTGTATGTGGAAGTTTGATACCCAAGAACCGTCGAAGCAGGTTTATGAATTGGCTCCAGAGGACATAGTTCGTGATAATTGTCAACCTCATTAGGTAAGTCAGGAAATCGTACGATATCGGGTTGTGCTAATGTCAATGCGTTCTTTTGCAGGATGTCCAGTCGCAAGTTTTCACTGACAAAGAAGCTGGGAGCAGCCTGAGGGGGAGGTGTGGAAGGAGCAGAGGAATTATTAGAAGAGGGTGGTTTTGCCGTTTTCACAGGTTGTAGATGTGAAGGTGTGCCCGGATAGACGTAACCAATCTGTCCCGTTGCTACGGATCCAATCTAATATTAAAAACAGTGCAAAATCTTCTCGTTATATCTTGTTTAGTTAAGCAAGTAAAACAGGCAGTAAAACAAGTCAAGACTTGGACTTACGGCCTCAGTGCCATCCTCAGATCCGACAGCGTCGCTGCTAGTATTCCCAAAATAGAAGTATGTTGTGCCACCTACATTTTCTTGCGAATGGGTATAGGAGTTGTTAAAGAGATTCGGCGAACTACTATTGCTGCCCGTAAGGCCTCTTCCTGGCACAAATTCGGGACTGGCAGTTACCTTCTTTTGTGAGTCCAGAGAAAGATTGGATAAATGCTTGGTCATTGAATTAGTGCTCAAGCCTATGCCAGGACTTTGATGATTCTGTGTAAGACGATTTATACAAAATAATTATCCGATATCGAGATCATTTTATTTCCATTAATGCAAAAAAAAAGAATTACCATGTAGGTAGCAAGCTTGGACTCCGATGGAACTCCGTTTGTTTGAGGAGTGTATGCGACAAACAACGATGGGTCCATCGCTTCTTCAGCCACTGCATTTACCACTTTCGTACTTATCTTTTACCCTTACTCTCTATATTGTTCTTAACAAATTCACCACCCACTTACTTCTCTTCTTACTCACACTAACTTTTATAAATGTTCTATCTTGACGTTTTCTTTTCTTTGCTTTGCTGATGTAAATCGAGGTTCCAGCCTTCCGAGCCTGCAACATATTCTCAAACATTATGAAAAATAAAAACTGAGTGAATTATATGAATAAATAAATATATGCTTCTAAACATATATTAATATTCATTCAATAAATTCTTTGTCAGTCTAGACTCTCTTTGTCAAGCTTTACATATATAATATATCACGTTCTCGCGTTTATCTCACGAAAATGAATTCTCCCAAAGGATAAAAGATTCAACGGCTGCAAATCTAGGCAAAACAATGTACCTTGACAATAAATCGATCGTACATAAAGAAAATCTCCGCGATGTTTAATTGGCACTTTTTTTCTTCGAGGTCACGATAACGAAAAGACGAAACGAAGAAGATAAATCGCAAAAAAGGAGCGTTAAGGGGAATCAAGAGTGTACGCTACGGCACAACGAGATCGCCGACGCGACGACTTTCATGGCGAATGAAAATAGAGAAAAGAGAAGGAGCACCGAAGTCAGTAATGGCAGCTGATTTTGACAACAGGCCGATGCGACGGAAGGCGCGCGACGCGGGCAACGCGACGCTCCGCTCCGCTGATTCCGTTCGACTTGGCTCGGTCCAAAGCGAGCCTAAGGAATGTTCGTCAACGATTGGAACGCGTCCGGAAGGCGTGCAAATGGAACGCGGGGACGTCAGGAATGTCGGGATACGGCGGCAACCGCCGACATAACCCAACCGATTCGCGCTGTCACCGCGCGCCCGCGTCGCGTCGCGTCGCGTCGCGGCGTCGCGCCGCCGTTTTTATTCGGCGCGCGGAAATTCCGCCGCGGCCACCTCGCCGCCGCGAATCAAATGAATAGACAGATGGACGAACCGTCGCTCTCTTTCCCCCTTCGGCCACTTTGCCCGATGACGCGCGATTCTTACAGCGAAGATCCAAGGAGTGTGGCGGTGCACCGTACAGTATTCACAGCATGCCTCCATTCAGCGGACGATAAAGGAGAAAGCTCACAGTCCACTCCATCTGCTCCGGCTGGCCGTGCCGTATGTGCGTGCGTGCGTGCGTGCGTGCATACGTATGTTCGTGCATTCGTGTTTACGACGCGAACTCTCGTTCTCTCCTCATTCTCTCCCCTATCGCGGATTTCTTTCCTCTTCACTACGTGTGTGCGTGTCTATCACCACTATTAAGTATCCGGATCGCGACGCGGTCTTCTCCTCCTCCTTCTTCTTCTCCTCTCGTTTCTCCTATCCCCCTTCATCAGGCAACTCCATCGGTCGACGGTCGCCCCCCTTTTCGCGAAAGCGTGCGCTCCCGCCAGCCATCGCGGCCCCTTCGATCGCAGCTGTTCCGCGACGCGGCTCCACTTTGGAGTTCGGTTCGGACTATTCGGATTTCAGTATGTACTCGACACGGAGAAATGGCGGCCGTGTCAGAATGTGTGGCACATCGAGTACGTGGACCATGCTCGTTGCTATGCAAATATGAATTATCGATCATCGATACAAATTTTTGTTGACATGGCATTTTTCTAATGAGAGACAGATGATTAACATATTGGTAAACAAGGATGAAATGATTCATAAAATGAAATAATTAATTCATTGAAATGAATTAATAATGAGATTCATTGATTGATTCATTCATTCATGAATTTTATCGAATAACTGCGCTGACAATTAAGGGAACCGATTTTGATGCGACTATATATATTTATTTATTTAATTGCTTATCTCAAAGTTTAGGGGTCGAAATTAACCCCTAGGAATAAATTAAAAAATTTGACACCGTTATTAAAAATATGAAGTACTAAATAAAACTTTTAATTGTATAATAAAACAAGACTTTATATATA